CCATATTGCGGCTCAAATGCTCTTCTATACATTTTTAATATTTAACGACAAAAATTTTAAAAATAGTATTAGTTCTTATTTTTGTATAGTGCATTATTTGATAAAAATTTTTTTATATAAATTTATAAAAATAAATAACTGATTCACTAGAAAAGAAGGACAGTGAGATCTAACCAGCTAGCTTGTCAAGCTTTAGCGCCTATCGCTAACAGTGCAACTTTGCTAACAATAAAAAATTATAAAATCTATTTAAAATATGAAAAATTTGTATATGGTTTGTTATCAAGGTTTATTTTATTGTATTACTTTACCTCTAAAATGCAAAATACAATTGATTTTAAACACATCAGCAGATGAATTAGCTTGGAAACATGACTGTTAGCCTAAACTAAAATCTAAAATAATATTTTTAGGTGCGCAGAAAACAGAATTGTCATTCAGAATTGTGTTTCTGCTTTTTGCGACGACAGAATTTCCTGCCGACAACGCCAAAATTCTGTCGTCGCAAAAAGCAGAAACACGTTGGAATAATGCCAGAAAAGTCTGCGTGTATGGTAATCAAATATGATTTACTTATGAACGACAAACAAACAGAACTGAATCAGGAAGGTTCTGCATGGTTGTGACTGACTGTCAGCAGAATACAGCCAGTAATATAACATTATGTTAACACCATGTGACAGTTTACAACCAATCACAGATTGCCAAATATACTGTCCAGCCTATGACTGGGCTCCCAGCCCAAAGAGTCTGTTATCAAACAAGAGAGTTCAGTCCGTTGCGGAGTCCTGATGTCCGGAAAAAAACAGACTACGAGCCGAAATGAGCTATCAGAATGATAAGAGTGATAGACAGTGTCAAGGTGAAACAGATATAAATAATTAGTCCATGACATCATGAATAACATTTTTTTAAATAATGAGTTGTTTTTTACCTTTTATATTTGTAAAACAGTAAATACATTTTTGACACTACTGCTAGCGGTGTAGCATTGCTAATAACCAAAAATGAATATAAAATATTTAAAATATGCTGTATTATAATTACTTTATTTGAATTCTTTACCCATAAAATCCAAAGTATAATTGATTATGAAAGACATCAGCACATAAAACAATAGTTTAGCTTAAAAATGTGATTGTTAGCTTAAGCTAAAATAAAAATATTGTTTTTAGGAGCCAAGACATTGATTTTTCTCATTGTCAATAATATCGTTATTTTAAGATTGAGTTATGTTTCTCCTTTTATATTTATACAACACAATAAATTAGTTTTTCATGAAAACAGCCAGCTTACTTATTTTCAGAAGTTATTGATAGCAGTACAATACTGCTAATGATAACAATGCATACAAAATATCTGAAATGTGGATAATTTAAATATACTTTATTATTTAAGATTACTTTCTATAAAACCCTATAAAAGTTCGTGTCATTGACAACAAAAGTGTTCAGGGTTCCTGCAGATCCTTAAAAAGCATTAAAAGGCATTGAATTCAATCCAAAAAAGGCCTTAATTAGCCCTAAAATGTCTTAAATCAATCTTTCAGAGGTCTTAAAAACAAAGTTAAATAGGATTATTGTAATTCGTCTCAAATTTTTAAATAATTGGTAACATTTATTTAGTTTTTAAAATAATTTACTGTTAATT